TGTGGAACTACGTAAGAGGCCTCGATAAAATAAGATTAAATTTTTGGGGTCAGCACCATACCAAGTTTGTCTGAGGCATTTAATGAGGGACATCATTTTTAAGGGATATTATTTTTATTTTTTTTATTTTTCAACTTTGTGAGGTGCGGTGTGAGGGAGAAACGATAATCTAAGGTCATGCCTAGGAATCCTGTGGATTCTTCAGCTTGTACTAAGGAGTCGTTGATATAAATAGAATGGTCAGCGGGAGAGAATTGTTTTTTTGAAAAAATTATTAGGTGAGATTTTTCAGGAGAGATTTCTAAATTTTTATTTTTTAAAAAGTTTGAGACTCTATTGGAGACCTCTTTTACTGTTTGTAAGCAGGCTTGAAGATCAGAGTTGAGGGAGAAAATGCCAAGATCTTTAGCAAACATAATAGATTCTACTTGGAGGTCATCGAACGATGGTATATTGGCAAGATATAAATCAAATAGAATGCGACTAAGGACGGAGCCTGGGCCGGCACCCTTGTCCATTGGAAAGGAACCTTCTAGTTCTCCGTTGATGACAAAATAAGATTGACGGAAAGCGAGAAGAAAATAAATCAGCGATTTTTTGGGGGATACCAAGGCTAGCAAGATCACTGTAGAGGCTTAAGGGATCTACATGATCGAATGCGCCTTTAATGACGATAAAGACGGATGCTGTGTACTGGTTGGTAGCAAAGCCTGTGAGAATTTCAGTTGACAGGATCGCTAAGTTATCGGCGCATGAGCGCATTTTTCGAAAACCGAACTAATTAGCGGGGAGAATGTATTTTGTTTCAAGCCACCATACAAGTCTATTAAAGATTATTTTTTCAAAAAGTTTCAAAAAGCATGAGGCGAGGGCGATTGGACGAAATTTGTTTGGGAAGGGTTTTGGGAGTAGAAAAATCAGGAATTTTCTCCATGAATCGGGGAATTGTCCAGAGATCGGGAGACCATTAAATAGTTTGAGAAGAGTATCTTTATATTCTGAGGGAAGTTTTGATATTATGGTGTAATCGATTTTTCTAAGCCTGGGGTGGATTTTTTTTTGGTTGAATCTAGGGCTAGTTTGAATTCTTGAGGGGAGAAGTCCTTTTCAAGGAACGTGTTGGATTGGAAGGGGATTACTGGAGGAAGAGGAGTCTTGTCTTAATATTAGTCTGGTCGCAGAGTTTTGTTTCCTCATGGCGGTATAATTTTCAAGGGTGAGTCTTTTTCTAAATAGGGACATGGCTTTTCTCCTGAGAGCAACAGCTCGAGAACACTCCTCATTCCACCATGGGGCTGGTGGGAAGGATTTTCTTTTATTTTTGTTGTTGTTGGGATTTTGTGTGGGTTTCTTTTTTTTAGGCATTGATGATTCTATGGCTTTCATGATTAAATCTATTACTGTTTCATAATTGACTTGAGCGGATATATCGTTTGAAAGGTTTTTTATTTCGTCTGAATGAGTATTCAGATATTCTTCAAAGGCTGACCAGTCTATTTTGGTTTTATTTATTTTGTATGAGAAGAGTTTGTATTTGTCAGGTGGGACGTTAATTGAGGTGACAATGGGAAAGTGGTCACTGCCCATTTGATCTAATAGGACTTTCCAATCAGATTTCATGGCCAGATTGGAGGCCACAAAGGTTAAATCAACACACGATCGTGCTTCATTGGGAGGAGTGACTCGAGTGGGGGAGCCGTCATTGAGGAGAAAGAAGTTCGAGTTAGCAAGGGCATCCATTAATTCTGTTCCAGAATAACAACACATCGTCTCTGATCACATTGAATCCCGGGAGGTTAAAAATTGGTTGGTCAGGCTTTAGCCAGGTTTCTGAGAGGAGAATGATGTCATATTTGTTAGCAATATTAAGTAAGTCTCCGGTTTTTGGGCGAATGCTACGATTCCATTGTAGTATTGTAAGGGGGGAATGATTGATGTTGAGAGGGTTGTTATTGATGTTAATGTCGTCCATTATGAAGGAAGAGATTCTGTTGTTGTTGTTGTTGGAAAAGAGGTGTTCTGAGTAGGAAGAGTGAAGGGGGGAGTTGCTAGATCCTTGTAGATTGTTCGTGATGTTAGGAGTAGGGGATTAAAGGTTGATGGGAGGTTGTTGAAGAGGTTGCAAATGTGAGATAATTGATTGGTGAGACCAAAAGATTCTACAAGATAAGAGAGTTTAGTAAGAAATACATCAAGAAAAGATTTGATTTGAGTCATAAGATCATTTAGGTTAGCGGAAAGGGGAATGGGGAGGTTATTGAGGGGAGGGTTAGAGTTGACGGAAGATCGGTGTGAGGAAGGGTGCGCATTCATGTGTATTAATGAGATAAGATTGATGAAGTTGGGTTCTCTGATTGAGTTAGGAGGCTGGTTTGTATTGCGGTTAGATCGTTTTGGATTATCTTTAGTGGATAATTGAGATTTTGAAGGTCGACGTTTGGGTTGATTGGCCATAATGGGGGGAAATTGTTGATTGTACACCTGTGGGTTGGTGGGAATGACTTTTTGAGATGAGTCAGGTGGAGATGCATAAGTGTTGGTTAGGATTTGTTGTATGTGAAGATTTAATGTAAGACTTGGATCTTTTGGTGTGTTGGATTGTTGGATGGTGTTAAAAGATGAAGGAAAGTTTGGGGCTGGGGTTGGAACAATTGTTTGGGGAATTTGAATTGTATTTGATTGAGGGGGAGAAGTCGTAGTTGATGAAGAGGTGGTTGGATAAGGTGGAGAGAGAGATGGATTTCTGGATTTGGGGTAATGGGGAAGATGTAGTTAGACTCGGCAAGAATTTGTCCGGCCTCAATATATGAGATTCCTTGACTGGCTGCATATTTGTGGGTGACTTTTTGATTTTGGAGTTCGGGGCAGTAGTTGTTGGTTGATACATGGTTGCCCCTGCAGTTTATGCAATGGGGAGATTTGTCTTTTCTTGGGCAGGGAACGGTGGGGGAGATTTGGTGATCGTTTTTTCCACAGTGGTTGCAGGTTTGATTACTTCTGCAATGTTCCTTTGAATGGCCAAAATACAGGCAGTTGGAACAACGTTTCACTTAACTAGCGTATGGGAAAACTTCTAGTCTGGTGTTATATAAGTTGACGTGGGAAGGGATTGATTGACCTTCAAATTTACTGAGGATTGTTTGTGATGGAGTCATCTGTTTGGAGCCATCAGGTTGAAGGGTGAAGCGATTGCATCGGGTAATTTCAATAATAGGGATAGTAGAGATGAGTTCCTCCTTGAGGTCATTCGTGGTGATGTTGAGGGGGATGCCTTTGATGATGCCTTGGCGAGAGAGATTGAAGTGAGGGATGTAGGCAATGATGTTGTGGGTTTTGAGGGATTCGGGGTTGATCACGGTATTGGCTTGTTTGGCAGAGATGAATGGGATGAGAATTGAATGACCGATTGACCTGGTGAGGCCATAGGTGTGTGCCATGTCGGATTCTTTGAGAATTTTAATCACAATTTTGGAGAGATTGAGTCCATGAAGGACAGGAAAATTTTCGATTGAGGGTTCGGCTTGAAAGAAGACGTCGAATGAAGTGTGTGTTGAGCCTAGTGGGTAGCCGTTATTCTGAATTTCTTCTGGAATGGGTGGACGTCGAGATGGATTTTTGGTGTAGGAAGGTGGGCGGAGGGGTTTAGACTTGAAGTGGAGGGGGAGCTGGAGTTGTTGTCTTTTTGAAGCGGGAGAGTGATTTCGGGGGTCGTTTCAAGCGTTTTTGATTTTTTCGTAGAGTGTAGGAGAGAGATGTGAGCGATTTTTTTGTCTTTGGGATTTTGGAAATCAGGGTCCGTCTCTTCACCGTCACTCTCGCGATTCAAGACTCTTTTCCCCATTGCATTTCTCCCCTCTACTTGTTCCTCGATTTCCATATTTAGTAGATCCTGCATGCCGATATAGGGTGATTGAATCGAAGAGGTGGATGATAATACATCAAAATACTGGAGTGTATTGAGAGATACAAGGGTGTTGGGGTCTATAGGAATATTATTATCTTTACAATATTTGAAGTATTCGTCACGTCTGGCTGCTAGGTTGTAGTTTGGAATCGATCATCTCTGACTCTGTAGAAAGAGATGAGGATATTTGAGAGGGAGAAGGATTTTGGGGGAGGAAGAGGTCTTCGCCGGTGATTTGATTTCCAATTTCAAGAGGAGAGCGATCGGAGGAGTAATTACTGTTTGTCGTGTCGCCCATCTTGAGGCAGCGTTTGTTGCTTGGCGGGAACGCCGACTGAGGTTAGGCGAGCGCACGGCCTGGCTGAACGCCAGGCGTAAGAGGAGGCTCGATACTTATCTCTATTCCTATTTTGACCTGACTGACGAGATTCTCGGTGAAAATGTCTCTGGATCTTCTCAAGTTGAATTTCCCGACTTGAGATTTACTTATTCTTAATACTTGAACAAATATACGGAACACGTCCATTCGCAACGGTGGCCAAGAGCCAAGTCCACATCCCCACTCCTATGGTCGCCAAAGCGGAGTACTGGCCGAGTGGGGACGCCAGTACTATAATCTTTTCAGATTTGAGCGCCCTCACCATGTACGGCAGCACTATCTGAAAAGAATATTTGTCTCCCGAAGCGACGATAAAACAGCTGACCGCCAGCTGGTTCTGACCTTCATATTTCGCCAATTCTCATCAGACTATAACGAAAGCGCCATTAAAAAATCGAATAATAATGTAGGATTGTCACTTGGATTCGTTTTCCGAGATTTATTCCTTCTTTTGTGTGTGGAATGAATAACAACAAAGTATTCATCCACCACTATCCACTATCCGCCATATCTAGATGATTGAAAATAGCGCGGGGTGAGGTAAAGGGGGTGCTGGAACCACCATCCCAGTTGAAATGTTTCTTTCATCACGGAGGTGAAATTTTATATCACGTTATTCAAAATTCACGACCACACAGCAATTTCCCTCACATTTCCTTTCTGACACTCGTTTATATTTTGTTAGGTGATTGTACCCATCTCTTTGGGATAATTTTTATTAGAACATTTATTTCTGTTTACATCAATGAAATACCCTCTTCAAATTCTATTTCACGTTAATGATCAGGTTTTTCAAATACAGCGATGAGTAATGAAATGCGGCAATCCACACTGCTCCCATTAGAGTAATCTTTCTTGGGAAGATATTTACTTTTGAGTCGTTCTTCGAAGTCTTCCCTATAAGGTTTTTGGAGATCAGCTGGTAGTCGTTTCACAAATGGATTAACAGACATCACCAAATCTAAAATTGAAAGACACACTTCAATTTCTAGTCTCCTGATTTATCTATCGTTAGACCTACTCTATCTATTGTTCATCGGTTGAAAATTTTTTTATTATGTAACTTACCGAGGAAAGCATCCAACGTTGGATACGTAAACGTTTTCCATCTGTTAGCGCAATAGTGTATCTTGAATCCAACCTCATTCAAATCTTTTCTCACAATCTCTTCGGCATCCGGACGACCATGTTGAGGAGAGGTAAACTCTAGGGAATCCTTGAAAAATTATAGATTCTTTTAAATGTTTTATAGGATTTTATGATCAATTTCACCACTACCAAAAAAATCCACTACCCAATCTGATGTGGTCTGGCGCCTGTATTTACCTCCATTTCTCAAAAAAAAATTGATCAACCCATTGAGTGAAAAAATGGCAACCCACTTTTCATAGTTATGTGGTAGTATGCGTGCGCCGCTATTCTATTCTTATGGCGCATTAATATAATACCTGACCACTCACTAGCGTTACACTAGGCTTGAAGTCAAGTGCGTCAGCATTCCTTCACCAGAATAGCGAATTTTCCCAATTAGGCAGTCCTAACATTACGAAAATTGAGTGTGATACGAAGATAAATGACCGATATGAAAAATAGTCGAGTTCATATTCGAGTTTATCGTGTTGTTATAAATAGCTAAAACCCGACGGCAGTGGCTGTGTGCTTATAAGCATACAGCTCTATAGAGCGCCAAACTGACACGCGGTGAACCGCGTTCGATCTCACCACTGACCATCAAAATTTGTAACACTTCAATTCTCACGGCTTCGTTATCCAGTGGGAGCCTAGTAAGAGACGACTGTACCTGGTCAGGCTTTAACCCTAGTCTGATCACCAGACGCGACCTCGCGACTTTGTTCACCTCCGCGGCGATTCCCCGCCGCGTTATTTAGGCTTTAGCGTTGCCCAATTCACTCTACACTGCCCAAGCGCGTTTAGCGAGTATTCGGCAACGTCGCGTCATGGGAAATTTCATTAATTTTTTTCATGGGAAAAAATAATTCATCTGTCCGAAATACTTTTTCTTCAGGAATTTTGAGAAATATGGTTTTCTAAAAACTACTATCATTTTTAGACACTTCACTTGACAAAGCCAAATTTTTTTGCATTTTTCTGGTTAGCCAGTCAATTATAATTGAAGAAAAACGTCGCGTGGCGGGGTTTTCTTCATAGGGTGACTAATCTAGGCTTAAAAACCCGAAATATTACACAAGAATGTTGAAGGAATGTTTTTAAATTTTCAGTCGATATAGTAGATTAATTTTCACAATTCCTTTTATACACGTTGTGACGAGGCACATTTCTTTATTTTTTATTATTTTTACATACATTTTTCCCCAACACACACAGCCCCCTAAAACGTAAATCCCGCCACCGTTGGTTACCCTTCCCCTAGATATTCCCCTCGTTACCCCTCTGCCATCACCCCTGGATTCAACGACGAACAGCCGCCGAAGGAAGTTAGCAGTTCCGAACCACCTGGAGTGGGTGAAGGAGCCGTCGCCCCCGAGAAACGCCCATGGATAAGCCTCGATAATCCACCGCCCTTGAAATTCACGACCGATACGGCTCTGGATTGTGATCGTGGGCACAATCTCAACACCTTGATTGGCCCCGATTCCCCTCGAAGTTGACCCGAAAGAACTCGAGATCCTGCGAATTCCCCCGAATTACGAAGGAGAAGAAGGAAGAGAAGAGAAAGGAATCACTCGTGCGACAGCTGCCCCGTGAATTGCCACGTGCCCCCCTGAAGTAATAAAGAGTAAATCGTGTAAAGTTGCCCCGGAAGTTAGTTCGGTGAACAGAAAAGAAGACTTGGATTAATTGGAGTCCATCTCAGCTCTCGCTTTGGAGCCCCTGGAGTCGGAAGGAGGAACGGAGGCCCTGAGGATTATTTTTGAGGACGTTTCTGGAGGAGTTTTCTGCGAAGCCCTTTTTGGTCAACGTGAGTACGAGTTATCTCCTTCATTTTCCCCCTTTGTCCCAGAACATCATCCTATGTTACCTCCCCCCCAACGGTGAGCCTATACATTCCTTTTCTTCCCCCCAGTAGAGTCATTAATTCATACATCTTTTCTTATTTATTCCCCTCGACACGACTAGCTTCTCCTCCCTTTTTGTAAATTAGAATCATCCCTTTAACGTGTACAAAAGTTGCCTAGCCTCCTCCACTACCCTAGATCTCTAGTAAAGACCTTTTTTGACGTCTTCTGACAATCTAATTGTTGTAAAGTTCAGAGAATATAATTCATTGTTCGAAAGAAACCCTTCAATTGTCCTCTTTCTTTGATTGCCCTCTCCTTATTTCAAGAATTAAAACTATTGCAATTAAGGAAAAGGTCACAACGTATTCGATCTTTATTAATAGCATTTTAAGATATTTATCAATATATTGATTTCGAGAAGTCATTTTTCGTGATTCAGTTCAATCGGCAATATTAAGTACTCTTTTAGTAAAAAAGATTAATAACTACTCTTTTGGAAAAAAAATCTCAACTGCGATTATTACACACTTTTAGATTTATTCAAGTGTCGCCCTCGTATTCTTCAATCCCAATGCTATTAAGTCCAAGCCTCAGACCATAGAGGAATGGAGATATTGGTTACTCGATGGATTAAATAGTAAATTTTCAAGTGTTGCAGGTATGGTACTGCATTCGATTCCTCCTATGAAAAATTACTGTATTCCCACGCTAAAAAATAATTTAATTTTTTTTTGTACCTGCATGTACGCCGAAAATATTGGATCTTCCCGCTGCTCCGAATAGACATCAAATATCATGTGATGCGAGATTGTCAAAATGATGGCTTTACCCCCTGGCCGAAGGAGTTTGTAGAAGTTTTCCAACGCAAGCTTTGTATTCCTACACCAATGGAGACAATAGAACGACGTTGCATTATCAAATTGTCCAATCAAATTCTTGGGCAATTCAGGGGTTTGAATGTCTAATTGAAGATAAGATAGTTTATTCTCCACCGCGTAATGCTGTTCTGCATATGCAACCATGAAACGACATAGATCAGCACCTGTAACAAGACGTGACAAATGAATTTATTAACATCCAGGAGAAGGGTTGCTCACTCCTTGATTAAGTGATATTATGATTTCGAAATGAAGTCGACTTCACGTGATTTCAGGGTTGATTTCAGTGATTTCGAGAAGAAATAAAAATAATGACTTCAAGTCTTCAAAAAAAAATTCTAAGAGAATTAGAATTTAGAGAGAAAAGATTTCCGCTTCACCCAGCCGGGAATCGAACCCGGGTCTCCCAGATACGCGCCGGGCACTCTTACCGACTAAGCTACCGGGAACCATAGACTTCAAGTGGATCACGATATGATTTCGTGACTGCAATTCACTTCGAATGATTTCATAGATTCAAAATCAGTGAGTTCAGAGACAATGAAATAATTGAAATCACGATGAATAACGTTCGTCGCATTCTCTTACAAAACATTTATTAATTTTAAATGACTTTGGCATGATTTGAAGACTTCAGAATGTTTGTGGAAGATGATTTCAGAGAGTGGAAATCACGTGATTTCAGTAATTTTGATGATATCACATGACTTGCGCGTTATTTCGAATTGATTTAATCACAACGTGGCGCTATGATTTCGGGAGTCAGTAGCCTCTTGCATCTAGGCATCACTTTTTCAAATTGTTTCAAAAATCCAAGAAATTTCCAATTGTTCAGAAAACTTCACTGTTCTTTCAGATTTTTTGCAAAGCGTTCTCGAATTCTTTAGAATATTTGAGCACGATTTGTTTAAAAACGTAAGATTGACGTAAGATTGAGAATGATTTCTGCTGATTCACAATCCTTACCGATAATAATAGCGTCTTCCCCCACAGCCGGAAGTAGTACACCCTTCGTAATATTTCCAGGGCCACATCCAACATCAATAATTCGGCCCTTCATTTCCTTGAACACCTCAGGAAATTCTTCAACCAGCTCTTCTATATCACGATACTGCAGACGGTTTGATTCAGCATACTCCTTTGGTTGATTCATGTTTAAATCTTACAAAATAAAGGGCATTTATGAATCTCAATAAGCTGCTTTGATTGATTGATTGATTGATTGAATTTATTGCTGTACATTATGTTGTACAAAATTATGGTGGCAGAACCACATATGCTGGTATACAGTAAATCGCAGTGAATATCATGGAGTAAACAATACATGCTAATAAAGATAGATACATAAAAAGCAGAGTAAGATGAGAAGGAGCAATATGCAACGGAAAGAGCAAGCTTCGGCGGGTCCTAAACAAACAGGTGAATAGCAAGTGCGAAAAGGTAATTATGAAAGAGGGAAGAGTGTAAGAATAAGAAGGGAGGAAGACAGGGGCAGCAGGGGAAGGGAAAGTGAGAAGAGGAGAGCAAAGGGTAGGAAAGCATTAAGAGTTGTCCCTCAGATAATTCCGCACAGCTAATCGGAAAGACGACAGTGTGGGAAGCTCCCGCACTGCAAAGGGAATTGAGTTCCATAAATAAACCGCAGACACGTGGAAGGAGGATCGCATGGCTTCAGTCCTGAAAGGCTTGGTCATAAGGGGAGTCATATCACCCCTCACCGGCCGCACGGCCCGACTGGCCACAAAAAAGTCAGCCAGATACACCGGCTGACCAAAGCGGAAGATCTTGTAAGTGAGGCACGCAAGGAAGTACTTCCTGCGCACTTCACACATCGTCCAGCCAAGCCGCAGACGATAGGGAGTGATGTGCTCGTCTCCCCTTAGCGCAAAGATGTATCTAACCGTCGTATTGATGAGACGCTGAATCATAGTAGCAAGTACACCAGACAGACCATCATACACGAGACAGCAGTAGTCGATCAGGGGGAACACCAAAGCCTGAATGAGGTGTTTACGCAGACCCAGAGTGGTACTGGCTCTAAAGAACCGAAGGCGGTACATAACAGAGTGAACCCTCTGCGTCACATGCGCCACATGTCCCTTCCAAGAGAGCTTGTTATCCAGAACCACTCCCAGGCTGCGCACGGAAGTATCAAACGGAATTGCAGAGCCACCAACGTTGACAGACAAACCGGGCAAGGAATAGACATCGTTAACGAAGACATTAGAGCCAAAAATGATGGCTTTCGTCTTCGCCATATTCAGCTTCAGCCGATTTGCATTATCCTAGTCTGTCACACGGTTAGCATAGAGATCGTTCAAGGATACTTTTCATTATCAAAAGCTTTAAACCAGGCGATTATCGACTCTCACAAAGAAAATTATAGATTGTTGCCCAGAAGGCAATCGAAAGCGATACCCTGGTCCGAGGACTCAAAGGCAAAATCAGAAGGGCTTTCAATGAGGCAGAAAATGCGAGGGAAGATCCCCGCATTTTTTGCTGCAGAGGTCTGAAACATCTGGAGTGGAGTTCTCGGAGAGTATGACAAAGCAATAAAGGCCGCCAAGAACAGGTGCTGGAAGGATACCAGGAGCAGCGTTGAAAATGAGTCGGAGACCACTAGGCCACCTGAAATCCTGGGTACAAATAATACTGCATATCTAGAGAGCTTACAGACACCAGACCACAGTCATACAGAAGCCATGGGCGATACTCTAAAACTCCTGATGGACACGCACTTTCCAGAAAGACAAATATGAACCTCACGACTGGGTCTTAGCAGGAAAGTGATACAAACTTTGGGGGGGGGGAGAGTCAAATGGATAGTCCCATTTGACTCTTTCCCTTTACCTTTGAGCCTTTTAAGACATCAAGACCACACGAAATCTACAATGCCCTATTGCAGGAAAGGATAGAAATTATCACGGGTCCTTCAAATAAAATATTCAGGGCCAGCATAACTCTGAAACATGCTCTCAAAGGCTGGAATGCCACTAAAATAGTATTCATTCCGAAACCCGGCAAGTTTTATTACATCCAACCCCAAGACTTCCATCCGCTAAGTCTCACATCCTTCATTCTGCAGACACTGGAAAGACTTGTGGACAGACACATCAAAACGGGGCCCTTGGGTGAATGATCCTTATCGTCTTTCGAATATGCCCATAAGACAGAAAGTTCAACAGACAGTGCCTTACATCTGATGGAATTCATTGACGAACAGTTTGCGGTCAACGCTTCGGTCATAGGCGCATTTCTGAATATTGAGGGAGCTTTCGACATCACCTCAAACACAGCCATAAAAAAAACATGGAAGAACATGAGATACCTGAGACAGTCATTACTTGGACATGGAGTAACGTATGGACAAAGCTATACTGATAGAACGGTTTAGTCGAACCGAACGCGACTTTTTAACTATTACCACGATTCGTTAACTATTAACGAATCGCGGTAACAGTTAAAAAGCCTCGTTTGATGCAACTGAATTGTTCCACCTTTTCTATCAGTGTACGTAGAAGGATGCTCAACCAAGGACTGGCAACAGAGAGTTCTCTGACCCTTATTATGGAACCTGGTTGTTGACGAACTTCCAAACAGACTAAGCATAGCAGGTTTCCACATAGCTAATTTTGCTGATGACATGGTAGTAGTGGTTAGAGGCGGGTTTCTGAACGTACTTAGAGACGTAATGGTAACGGCTTTCAACATGATGGAAAGTTGATATATCCAAACTGGTCTCAGTAAGTCCTGCCAAAACCGTAGGTCTGGTGTTTACTAGAAACTGTAAACACAAAGAAGATTCAACCTCTGGAGCTGAACGGCATGGAAGTCAATTACACCAACAGAGTCAAATACCCTTCAGAGTCAGATGTCCTTCTGGATAGCAAACTAAATTGGAAGGACCATCCCTACATACAGAGAAGTAGAGTGTTCATCTCGATGTGGGCGTGCAGAAGAGCCATTGGCAGGAACTGGGGGTTAAATCCCAGAATACTACGGTAGCTCTACCAAGTGGTATTGCTAGCAAGGCAGATGTATGCTGCGGCCGTCTGATAGCCAATAAAAACCACACTTACCGAGGCGTTAGAGGTAATACTCACCATTCAGCCCTTGAACCTCTGAGCGATTGGCTGTGCAACGACAACCGCATATAGACAATATATGGCATATCGGCAACCGCAAAAAGGACTACTGGTTTACTGATGGGTCCGGCTGCAATGAAAACTATGAAGCGATATCTATCGTTTGAAAGGTGGCTTCGGGGAGAGTTTCCCACTATGTGATGGGGCGTAACCAAATGTATCGAATACCTCGTTGCGAGAAATATAAAAAGAGTCAAGCCTATTGAAAACGATGTGAAGGTTTTGGAGGTGTTCTTTGAAGGATTTACCGAGGACTAAAATGTCATCGAGGTAAACTACACATATCTTCCAAATGAGATCCTTCAAAATGAAATTCATAATGCGAACGAAAGTGGCAGGGGCATTACACAAGCCAAATGGAAGGACTTTGAATTGCCACAGTTTGTTGCCAATGGAAATAGCTGTTTTATCTTTATCCTCAGGAGCAATCTCAATTTGCCAGTAACCGCTTTTGAAATCAATTGAGGAAAACCGCGAAAAACCTTTAGTTGCATCGAGCAGTTCACTAATCGATGGAATGGGCATAGAATCCTATTTCGTGATTTCCAAAAATTTCCAAAATTTTGGTGAGGAATATCAGTATGATTAAGAGAATTAAAAAGTGTCGATTGGATGGGGATTGAAGAATTGTGAATAGGATTTAAATTTGAGAAAAAGGACAAAGGATTAATAATTTGGGGATTATTATCTTTGTTATTTTGGAGTTCGTGTTGGATCTTTCTGTGAAAGTCCAGTTGAAGGTTCTGGTAAATTTCGCCCTTCGAAGAGTTAAAACCTTCCTGAGGTCTTGTCGTAGAGTATTCAATAAATCTTCGCGGACGGCAACAATCCCTTGTTGAAGATTGTGATTCATGCCGGAAAATAATTCCTCCCCCAAAGAAAAAGTCTGTTATCGAGTGTCTGATTGCGTTGCCTGAAAAAGTTCCATTTGGATGGAGACGAGGGAAGTTGAGATTTCGCCGTTGACCACATCCGCGAGTTCCGAATGAATAATCGATTGAATTTCTCAACGGAAAGTCATGTTGAACTGTCGCCTGACTGCAGCATCTAATTCGCGTTGTAATAAATTTTGAACACTAGTCTGCATGTTGGTGAGGGAATCATCGATATATTGGCGAATCTCCCGATTGTTCCATATCATTCTGCCATTGACAAATTCTTAAATCGCCTCCCGGTTGTGTCGGAGGTGAGGGGATAAACCGTCATCCAAGTCCAGTCTCAATCGGTCCATTTTCAGCACAAATTTTTTACTAAATCATCACTAAATCGACGTAAAAATGGAAAAGTGAATTCGTCACTTCTGACACCAATTGAAGAACACGCAGTTTTAAAAATAAGTAGAGTTTATTCAATTAAAACGAGGCGAAGATAAATTACAAAAAGATTGGGAGAAACGAATGAATCTAAACAATTGAATGAAACTCACTTCAGAGGAGAGATACGGAGGAAAAGAAAGGAATGCATAAACAATAGAATGCAAGGATGGAAATTGGAGATTCGTTCCAATATTCATCTATGTACCTTGCTTACATAGTCATTTTATATGACCTTTCAAGTCATCTTTGTGTGAAAATGAATATTGAAAAAACCAGTTTCACATACAAAGTTGAATCTCTCTGAAACTACTGATCTTTAAGTTACCATGCGTACTAGCAATTTCAGCGAAAAAAAAATAAAAAACGCGAGTAAAATTATATTGCCTCGAGGTGGGATGGTTTTTTTTTTGAGTGAATTGATTAGGTATTATCATGACGAGTATTTTTAAAAAATTGAATCGGTCGAATGGTTCAGGAATATCTGCAAAAAAAGATTTTTGAGGAATCGCTATATCTCATAGACTAATCAACAATCGAGGTGAAATTTAGTACCAATTTGAGTAGTTCAGTAGTACCAGTTATAAGCCGGAACTTCAACCTCATGATAAATATTCTCGAGTTATTGACTCAACTCCTGGACATGTGCACACTCATACATACAAACATTTCTTAAATACATCATCACTTCTTATTGCATTACATTTCCAGGCATTTTCAGTCAAAATTAGGAAATCGAAAAAATTCACGATTACATAGCATTTAGCAGAAAGTTATCAAATATGTTTGAAGTCTTAAACCGTTTGCACGACGAATGTAAGAATCGATTTAAGGATAATCGGGTGAGCCGGAGGGCTAGAAAAAAAGCAGCCATTTTTTTCTTCTATTTTTTACGTATTCTTTAAATGATGGAAAAGACGCGTGCCAAAGTTTCAGACTGCTGGGGAACATGGTTAATTTATTATGAATTTTTGAAAAAGTGGTCATTTAACCCGTGATCTTATGGAAATCACAAAAAAACTGCAAAACCCAAGGAAAAAAAGCAGCTAAAGTCATGAAACTTCAGACACATTTAGAACATGTGATCAATGATTTTTCGAGTGAAAAAGATTGTCTCCTAGGAGCATTGTTTATTAATAATAGCGAAAAAAGTACTGAAAATGAAATTTCTGCGCACGCAGCCCAAACGAGCAGCAACGTCTCATGTACCAATCGGGTGGGGGTAGTGCGGTCAATTTAAACGTCTCCTGAGAGAGAGCGATGAAGCGTGGTAATTGGAGCTCCCTCGAACCAGTGGTACCAGCTCCTGGTGAAAAAAAAACACTACCGACGATGTTGCCACTTTTTCGCGTGGATTAATATTTTTTCATTTATTAAAAAAAAACAATCTGAGAACCATTCAATGCGTGGAATAGATACAAATAAATTTGATTAGCTCCAAAAATATTTTTTAACGGGAGATACTCCCTAATATTGCCTGAATTTTGAATCCGGATGGGAAAAATTTTTTTGTTCAGCGATTGGTTTTCTGCAGGAAAACAATAGAAGCCCCTCCGCCTTACCTACTACATTTCGACCTCGCCCGATTATCCTTAAGTGATAAACTCATTTTGAAAGAACATTTACTCAAATCGTTTTACCGTTTTGCTGCTGAAATAATATAACAAATCTCACTTGGTACCTATGGACGCAATTCCAATTCAAATATGCTAAACTTAGTATCAAGTCAACAAGTAAAGTCGGTGCAGCACTAATTCCAAAAATTTACCTGATGAATCACTGATACGAGTGCACTTGAGTTTCTCGGTACTTCACACAAGTAAGTGATGAAAGATACCAAATCGGCTGTACTGAAGAGCAAAATGACGCGCAAGTAGTTTTTTTAACCGAATCTGAAGGTATGAGCTCGTATTTACGATGGAAAAATTCAGGGACTAATAGCATTTGACCCTGACAAGAATCTCCACTCCAAGTACTCACGTCTCTACATTTCTGGGGTTTAGTTCAACCCCTCCACAAGGAAATGTTGGTGCGTAGGCGGAATTTTCCTCCTTCAACAACCAATGAGGCTTGTTACAATTATTTAACAACATTCTTCTTATTTTTAAATCATTTCGTTATTTATCAACTAATTCAAGTACCAAAATAGTTTCATCGCCTGGTGACATAATGTAATATTGCATCACGGGGTATGATTTACGGCATTTTAAGAAACTCAAAAACATGAGCCTCATACCTCATAAAAAGTAAATTTCAGAGGGGGAAACATTGCAAAAGACCAAAGTCTCAAGTTATCTCCATTATGAGAAAGTCAATCTCATTATCTATTGAGCTTTATTGGATCCTCCATTTAATTATTAGGAGCCCCGGCTCCTAACTAACTTGAGACTTTGGTCTTTTGCAATGTTTCCCCCCCTGAAATTTACTTCTTATGAGGTTTGAGGCTCATGTTTTTGAGTTTCTTAAAATGCCGTAAATCATACCCCGTGATGCAATATTACATTATATCACCAGGCGATGAAAGTATTTTTTGACGAATGTGGCTTTATAATCCGAGCCGAAGGAGAGAATTTTAACTACATGAGTCAGAAAATTGTTTTATCGCCGTGTGAGACGCAATATTTTATATCTCCGGAAACCGCGATTCAACCGAGGGAATCGAATAATAATATTTTATGCCTCAAGTACCGAGAATTGCGTTCTAACCGAACAAAGTGAAATTAAATTTCCCAGTTTATCTGTCCGCGGGACATAATGTACTATTCTTAATGTTATTTATGTGTCCAATACTGCGTCTTCGTCAGTCGGAATAAAATAATTATTCTAGTAATCATAATTGCAAACTTTTCGAAGTAATGTAAAAAATGTATAACGGGCGTATGGCTAATTGTTATGTCCAGAGAAGGATTTTAGCGTCGAATGGACATGTTTTAATTGTCACATTAAAATCAAAGCTAAAATTATTAGATTTTATAATTATTGGACGACGCAAAGTTTTATACTCTTACCTTTTTCTAAGATATAAGGGAAAGGGGTTGGTTTTAGGGATAGGGCTTGAGTTGAGACTAATTTCTAATCAAGAAATTTGGAGTTGTAATGGGAATCGAATTTGAATTTAAATATATTTTGTAGAACTATTCGGTTTACAAAAACATAAGCGTGATTTTACAGAAATCTATGTAGTTGAAATTCCTATCCCTGGAATGTCCTGAAGGATGGGAATTTAGGTTTACAAATTTTGTTACTCACGATTCGGTCTGTTATTTTTAAATTATTCGATGTGTTTGTAGATCCCTGGGTGAATCCGTAATTGCCTCACCAGCAATTAGTCACACTAAAGGCTATTATGGATACTTTTACGGAAACACTTTCTTCTACTCGTTGATATTTTAATGAAATTTTGACAGTTGTATTTTCGGATTTTAAGAGTTTGTTTGAGACTGTCCACAACCCGTCACAATGAACAAATTCCTTATTTGCAAGAAAAGTCACCACTCCCAGTTAAAGAAATTTTATTCCCGGATAATTTCAATTGTTCGTAACTTACTATTGATTCAGTAGTATCCCGTGTAATCGAAGGAAGGATTGAAAAACCGGACCGATTAAATGAACTATTTCTACCAGAATTGTTACTGCTCCGTCGCTGCTTCAAGACTGTTTAATTTTGGTTTTTCTGACATTTTTATATGAATTTTGGCGTCACTTGTCACATGGGCTCCAACGAGTCCATTTTTAATTGGTGGAAAATGTCGTATGACTTTTCCCACTCTTTTGATTTTTATGAGGAAGTAGTTCATTCGGTTTTTGGGGTCTTAATCGGTTTTCAATCGTTCTTTCGCGCGCTAATCTTAGTATTGAGTAATTGGAGCATGCTGAGTGTGCCATTTCATCACTTTTGAACTCGATTCTAGTGTCTTTGGAATTTTTAATTGAGTCCAGTTGATGAAATGCACTCAGTTTAATTTACAATTGTTGATTCGGTTCTTAATTACCTGAAATTATAACATAACTTATAATTATAATCTTACATAAAATTTATTCTAGTCTTAAATTCCTAGTACAAAATTTTGGACATTACAGCCCCCGCTCAAAATTGTTTCCAATTGCTTTTTGGAGGCAATTTTGAGGAGTTGGACTTTTAAATTTTATGTGTAGTATGGATTGAATTATTTAGCTGGATAATCGTGCACCGGGCGGTGGCCGTGAGCGGCTGGATGCTGACGGTGACATTTTTGTGGGTTCGGATTACATTGTATTCCCGATTCACCTGTCAGTTTCCTTCACTCGCTCAGTGACTGTGAAGTGGTTTTGAGTGATTTCATTTATTGTGACGGAAATTTACGTTGTTACGGTAAGTGTTTGTGGATATTTTATTGCCTATTTTCTGTTTTTATTTTTGATTTGTTGCTACATATGCAGTGCTTTAATTTTGTTGGGCTCGCAGCATTTGTATGTAAACACTCGTGTTTTTTTTTGTTTGTTATATGTTAGTTTATTTATTTATTTATTTTACTTATTTTATTATTTTTCTAATTTCTGGATAATTTCAATTTGAAAATTTTTTTTTTTTATGCGGTGATTTGTGAGGAGGGGGAGATACATCCACCGAGTCAGAACTGTACACGGCACCGATCTGTACACGGAGCGCCACTATGCACAGCAGAACTATCCACAAATGAGATAGTGCACGGGCGAAACTGTCCACGAGGACAAAGTGTCCACAACGCGCCAAGCCGATAAACCAGCATCGGTATTGTAGGAATCGAATACATTTATTACCTATAGAATAAAATTGTCGGTAACAATTTCCGTTACCTGATGGCGCTATAAGACTGGAAAGATTATTTTCGTGAAATATCCAGGGCTGTACTACCTGAACTCCTAGGTAAAAAATGAGCCGTGGACCCTAATAGGAGCTAACTGCATAATTGTTGGCCTCATTAACTCAAATTACAGGCCTACAGTACTTACTATTATCATTTCATATATGAATGAGAACCGCAAATTAATTTGTTGATCAAATAATCATTAATCAGGATGGCCAATTATCTGATTGTCGGATCAATAATCCTCAACCATCACAAAAAACTGATCGATTCTTCAATCCATAAATAAATAATAATGTACACTTCCTAATTACTTTGATAATTGTTCATTCAATTACAAAGTTATTAAATATCAAATTAATTGTTTATTCCAACAATTAATTATTTATTATTATGATTAGTAAACTGATTAATGGATAATTTCAACCATTGATTATTTGATTATCTAGTTAATCGCCCATTAAAATTAACCATTTACAACTTCTCAATCTACCGAGTAGTTACTGTAATCACCTCGAAAATGAATCATTAGATTTTGTTACCATTTCTCCATGTTTTAAGGTGTTTAAAACTTTTAAAACCCATCTGAACGAAATACCNGTACAACTTCTCAATCTACCGATTAGTTACTGTAATCACCTCGAAAATGAATCATTAGATTTTGTTACCATTTCTCCATGTTTTAAGGTGTTTAAAACTTTTAAAACCCATCTGAACGAAATACCTATTGTGTGGGTGTGACAATTTCTTCCGAATGAATTGTGCGATCAAGATGATCGATAACACAATCGGAAGGTCTTCATGTAATTTGGACCTGATTTCATTTTGAAGTGAATCCCTCCAGTGGTTTTTCCAAAGTGTCCTGGACAAAAAATTGAAAATTGCTCAGACAAGGATTTTTCATAGATGTATTATGTAATTGAGATTAACGATCAGAATATCACTGGAATGAATCGGTCCAGGGGTTTTCCCATGATGAAGTCTTAGAATTGATAAATTTTTGCACTGATTAAATTATTGGATAACTTTGGAGATTCATTGACGAATCATTGAATAATTGACTAATATGCAGCGATAATTATCCAATGATGAAATAATCAAAAAATTCCTCGCGTCATTTCTTTAATGAAAGTTTATTTCGTTTCGATCACGAATTGTTTGAAGCATCGAAAGTTGTCTTGGAATAATTGAAAATTGATCGGAATATTGCATAATTATGGTTTTCAATTGATGGTAAAATGATGATGATAAATGATTGATGGTAAATTATTGAAAATCTCTCCATAGAAACGATTCATTGACTAAATAATTGATTTTTTTGGAATCCGAAATTCATCACCATCCGGGTTAATCAGAAATTTCCAGATTCAATTAATTTCTCTTTAATAATTGAGAAAAAAATCGAACAGGATTAACAGTTAATACATTAATCGGTTAATTTTTCATTCCGATTAATAATTGACTAATTCATTGATAATCGTTGATGGGTGATTATTCATTTATCAAAAAAAGTGGTCAGGATTGATACCAATTGTCGATTAGTAAAATAATTGTCGATTAGTTTGCTGCTGTTTTTGTGGTATACCGACGGGCTACTCAATGGGCAAAAATTGGTCGCCAATACGTTCTGAGAACGTATCACAAGGGTCCCGATACGTCGCCAATACATACCTGAATACGTACCTGGAACATTCTAAATAGACTATAGTGCATTCTCAATACGTTCGTGGTACGTTTTCCCAAAACATTCCAATTCGTTCGGTTATATTCCCGAACGTTGTGGACACATATTCGTAGACAGTTTGTACTATCTTTTAATACAAACGTTTTTGAACGAATTGGGAAATAGGTTACAAGCCTAAAGAATGTTAAATTGATCGTCAGTGATTTTGAGAGAGCAGCCCTTAAATGTTTCGCAAATGTTCTACCTTTGGCAAGGCTGATGGGGTGTTGGTTTCATTTCATCAAAGTAAGTTAGATTGGAGCTTTCAACTGTTTTCCACCAGGTGGAAAGAATGTTTAATACTAATTTCGTCATTATAGGCATCATTTGAACACTGGAAGAAGCTGCTTGAAAAATATGATCTACATGATGCCCCATGAGAGCCAAAATACCTATTGCGTTTCCTTTCACTACTGCCACATTATCATGTTGAAAAGGGAATCAAAATAATGTCTCAAAAATGCTCTTATTATGAGAAATTATTTCCTGATCTTCGTCATTGGGCGGATTATGTAAATAATCAATGGAGACGAATTCCAGAAATTGTGTCGGTGCATAATTGTTGCATTAGCACCAACAATGATTCCGAGGCTTACAATCGACAATTCACACCTCGAGCCGGCGGTAAATCCCCTCCCGTCTTCTCATTCATTCATACGTATGAAACATTTACATTTGGATAAATAATCCTGATATAATTCCCATATCGAGAATCTCATAGGAGAATTGCATCTTGAATTCTAGGAAACTTGCAAGAGATACTGCGAGATGAAGTGACGAATATGACACGAATGAAGAATGGACTACCGATTGTGAAGACCAAGCTCATGGAGATAAGGTTTAATTGGGACATGTGTCTTTTAGAGGCACAAAAAATGTATCTAAATAAGAGTATACATCAACAATTGTATAAATATCCGTGGCTTGAGTACAGTTGAATCCAATCCATTAATATCTATCCATCTCATTACAGAATTACTCTAGATGAAATGTATACATTTCTGAAGCAATGTCTACCCGAAGAGCAATCGAAGGGAATTGGTGAAGAACAACGTATCAGTTTGCAGGAGAATGTAACAAGTGAGTTAGAATTTAAGTGTTAAATCATATTGGAATTTTGGATTCCCCATAGAGCATTTTGAAAATTATCAATTTCTACAGGAGAAATGTTTAAGCGAGCATCAAAAATGGAATTGAAATCCTTGTCTGCAGAAAAGGATGAAGAATACGGAGGTAACAAAAGAGAAACATACTTTATAAAAATCACGTATTTAAATGAAATGGTCCTGTTCAACAATGATTCTCCTTTTTCAGTTAAGCGAAAATGTCAACGTAGAAGGAGGACAACGACGTGAAACAAGTTTGTTTGGCGACAGCATTTGAGTGTAGATGTGTTCCTGAGAGACGTGTCAACGCTTCTTTTTTCCGTCAATACATGATTAATTCATACATCATTAATTCCGTTCCACTGTTTATTACAAAAAAACAACAGTTTTTTTCAACCATTGAAGTGATAATTAAATATAAATTTATATCGATCACAAAAGTGATCATGACTCATTTTTCTTCATTAATTACTTGATAATGAGCAATAATTACATGATTTTTTTGCCCAAATCCATTTTTCTGTAAGCCTATAATTTGAGTTAATGAGGCAATCAATTATGCAGTTGGTTCATATTAGGCTGAGGCTCAGTTTTTTCCTAAGAGTTTAGGTGGTACAGCCCTGGATATTCCA